CTATTGATATTAAGGATAAGTATGATGACATTTACGAAGAGGGAGTTCCTTTTAAACTGCATTGGTAAGGCCTTGAATTTTAATCTGCTCCATATTTTTCTGCACAATTTTTGCAATTGGGATACCTCTTTTTTAAAGAGGCTCACCTCGAGAGTCTAATAAAATTACCTATATATACATATTTAATTTGCTGCAGAGAAACCAGTTCTGCATTTTAAATCAAATTTGAATGAGCAAAAAAAAATTTAATGCTTTTCTAAAGAAATAAACTGTCTAAGTTCTTGAAGAAAGTTGAAGCAATCAAGGCTAAACCTCCAATGATATTAAGCCTTTTAAATCCGGTATTTGACATACTTTATACTATTTAGTCATTTTTCATATTCAGCACCTTGTAATCGTCAGTTTGCATTATATTGTTTGAGGGTTATGATATACTTCAATTGCAAGATTAGGCCTAATCATGCAATTCTCTAGGAAATATGGAAAGTATTAATGCGAAGGGATGGGTGAGCTAAACGAAAGTTGGAATTAAGGCATTATAAATTAGCAAATAAGGCTATGAAATTATTACTTAACAAGATCGCTTATCCAAATTGGAATGCAGCTAATTCTTTCCTAGAATGAATTTGTGGTCTATCCCATTTGGATTGATGCTGTTTATACATGCATACCCTCCGATATACATAGTAGAGTGTATGCAGCCTTCCGAAATAATTTTGGCGTAGATATACTACTTCTTTCTCCTAGCTCAAAACAAGATTGATTACTAAGACGGTTGAAAGTAGGATAGAGTTGGAAAAAGGAACTAGAGAGAACAGAAAGAATGAGAATAGTAAAATAGCATATTCTGGATCCCTACACTATAAAAAATTAGAAGAGTTCCTCGAAAGTTGGTCACAAGGATAAGAGCAAAAATGAAGAAAATTTGGAAAAATGCCGAAAATAGAGCTTAGTAAGGTTAGCGTTGAAAATATTTTGGCCACATTATTAAGAATTCTAGAAAACTATAAAAATATGTGTATTTTACAATTGCTTATACTTGTGAGCTTTAGCTGTCAAAAGGCAAAATATTGACACGATAACCCCTTTTTGTCTTTGTTGCCCTCTTTAGTCAAGCTCTCATATGTTGAACTACTCAATAATCCTACAATAAATTAGGCCAACTCGAAAGATTTTCGTAAAAACATGTAGATTTCCAAATTAGTCAAGTCTAATTTATGTGCGAAATCTTCCTTCAATGATTTCGACACTATAAATTGAGATGTATTCCCCCTATTAAGATAAATATAATGAAGCTCTGGTAGTTCACTTTTCAAATGAGTAGGCCTCAGGTTTCAACAGACTTTCCCATAGCCTTGCTTCCAGTAAGATGTTCTCATTCAGGCAGCAATAGATTCCATTTCGGCCTCGCCTAGGTGCCATCATTAACCTCTCAGGAATCGAATCCAGGTTGTGTTAGGGCAGAGTATTATCGCAGCAAGTTGACCAATACGCCACTCTGCCAAAAGCGCTTTTCAGTTTTAGGTTAGAACTGAATTCCAGGAAAGTTTAGGCCTTTCTCATATCACATTTATGTTTCAGGATTGTCAACGAAGTTGTATTTGCTTTAGCAATTGAATACGTTACATATTTTCGCCTAGGAGTAGGTTTCGAGACCTTAAACGAAATAGGGTTATTATATCTCTTATATATGATCTAGTGGTAATCTCGAAACCTAATTCTATACAAGAATAAAATTTGCAGTCGATTAGTATAGCAAATAAAACTATGTTTCCACGACAAATTCATCACAGCAAGTAATATGTGAAGGCCTGTACTATCACAACTCAATCTCGAGTCCTGCTGCGTGGGCTGGAGAAACAAGCTTATGCAAAGTTGAAACTGCAGTTTACTCCGGACAGGATGAGAATACCTTTTGGTAAGCAGGGCTATGTGAAATACTTTGGAAATATGATGTAAACTCATGTCGATTTGGGAAAATACAACAATCGACTCGTCATTACGTTAAACGAAATAAAGCTTATATATCTCATATATAAAACTGGTTATAAACGAAAATATGTATGAGTTCTGAAATTATCTATCAGGAAAGAAGTTGATTGACCTCGTATTCGAAACTTGGTTCTGTTGTCAGGACGACTTATTAGAACGCACCTTGTCCGAAGTCCTCTGTCATAGCAGTTATCATAATTCCCGGCATCAGACCGTGGATTTGCTGCATTCTCAGAGACTTCGCCGGCATCGTAGTCGGAATAATCAGGGAGTCTTGCCATTCGCCGCACCAAGCTACAAACCCTTCGAAGAGACAAGTGAAGTCAATCCCTCGACAAACGTTCTGCGGAAAACGGTTTGCTACCTGATAAAACTGTAGACACCTATCTCTGGTCGTATGCCACACCTCAAGTGCATTTCTAGTACATTTTGACCATAAAGCCGAATTTCAGTAACGGTTGTGCTTATCCGTCTGCCTAGTTTCCTGACTGCCAGGCCTCCAAATGTGTTCAGTTTCACTTCTGTTTTGCTAACTGATAAACGTTTTAGCTTGTTTTTCGAAATTTATCAACCTTTTATTTCCTCGCGATCCCTTTTCCTTCGGTTTGTGATATATCCCTTTTGGCTGGTCTTTCTCTATTCTTGTCTTCCCCGAGTTTGATTAGGCCATAGGCAATCTCCTGTTCATTAGATTTGTCTCCCCAATGATGTCAATGATCTTCCAAATCTTCCGCTTCGTTGTGTTGTCGCCGTATGGGGTTCTTCTTTCTGTTACCTTCCAATTGATCTCGTGTCCAGTCTGTGCGATGTGCTCGGCTAGTTCTGATCTTTCGGTATCCATTTCCCTGCAGAGCTTTTGATGTTTCTTGATTCTTATGCTATTTTTTCTCCGTTTCTCCAAGGAATTTCTGTTCGTAGGCGCCGCATGATGTACAGTAATCTCCTGGACAATCCGATTTGCATATCCTTTCATGTTGTGTGGGTAGACGTGTGAAAGTGTTGATTTTTCTTTCATAGCCACCCAAATATTGCATTTCCTCAATATTAGCAGTAGGTTTTGAGTTCGTTCTTAGGAAGGTAGGAATATCCACTTTTGTGAATCCTTCTCCGTCGTTTCTATTCTTTTATAGTGTCCGTTATGCAACCAGTATTTCACGGTCCGTATGTTTCCTTGCATTACTTCGCTTGGGTATCCGTTGCCGAGGAAAATCCTAGTCAATTTGTCCAACTCCTCATCCAAGAATTATAAATCCGTTAGGCATAGGCTCCGGATGATCATGCTCCTCATTATTCCTATATTTATCATGTAATTGTGATGGGACTGAAAATTGTGTATTATCTCGGCATAAGACTTCTTTTTGAGCGTCCCATTGGGTCGAATAACTTGAACATCCTCTACTTTCATCGTGAATTTAATTTTTATCATTAATCTGGTGTATAAACTTCAGAAAAATGTCCAGTTTTTCTCTTTCATGTGACCAAAGTGCGAAGTACTGATCCAGGTACCGCATAAGCACTGCTGTTTGTAGCGGTGTCATCTTGAAGTTCTCTTCTAATTTGATTATGTATACATGTGCCAAAAATGTTGAGAGCAGCGATCTCTTGGCAAGTCCAAAGGTTTTTTCATAGATGTAGAATAAATTGTCATTATTGTCAAGCTGAATAGTCGCGTTAACGACTCCCATCTAATTCATTGTGATGCCAAGATATTCTCCTTTCAGCCCAGGATTTCCAGCACTACGATGGAAAGAAGTTAGTAAATTTATCATCCTTTTCTCTTAATCCCGAAACAACTACGTTCCTAGAAAAAAGACCAAACTTTTCACTTCGAAGTGACAGAAGCCTTCTAGGATGCATCCTCGTAGCGGTTATCAATAGTACCTAAAAATTTTTCCGAGGAGACAAAACGGGAAATGGAGATAGAATTAATTCCAAAAATCTTTACACATCAAGAACCAACACACAGGAACAGATTTGTCAGAATACGTAAGATCCTGGGGATGAATCAGCAATCAGTCCTTCATGTTGGAGTACCTTTTATTTCGTTTGAAGAGGCGAGTGGAAGGGATTCGTACGTTGGTTTCACCAGAGGCTGTGGGCAGGTTGCAATGGAGCTGTGGTTGTAGATTTCTGCGAATAGGTCCTCGGCGCACAGACCTGCGACCCCGATGAATCCTTGCTGAGCTTTCGTCCGTCATGTGACGGGAATGGTCAGAGCAAGACACCATGCTCCATGATACTTTAGCGAAAACACGAAGACAAGAAAGGTGGCCGGATTCAGACCTACTTCCTTCTTATAATCCAATTTAGTTCACTTGGGCATCTCATGTTCTGGTTGGATGTCTTATGTTTTGGTTCTATATTTGCTCATAAGTTATGTTAATTGGCTACGGATGAAGCGTGAAAAGGGTGCAATTGAAAGCGAACAGCTGCATCCTTCCCTAAAACACGTATGCCTTTGCTCCTGCAATGGTATCGCATGTGATTGGGTCCCATTGCACACGTGTTGTGTGGGTGCATTGCTCTAGAAATGAGTGTGATCTGAGCGTCAAAACCAAATCCCATACTAATCAAGCCTCCTCCTTTTGCTCGGTGGTACTTAATGTTCCCCCTACCTCTCTCTCCAAACCTATCCAACTTCCACCAACAGTTTTCACTCGAATTCCTACACTCATTCCTTCTATGCAAAATGTTGGCTATTTTGTTGATTCTATCGCCTCGCTACTCTTTCGCTTGCTGGCACAATCTCCATATCCATCTAAGCGTTTGGCGGACCTGTGGTGTTCTGTGTGAACCATGTATTTGGCCAATTCTGATGTTTATACCCTTATAAAACCTTGCGGGCTGTTTTGTGCTCGGATAACCTCTTATGTATAGGCCTACAGGTCTCCCCTCCACATGAACATAAAACCTTGCAATAGCCCGATCTATAAAGTGGGCCAGAGCATTCTCTAAAAGAATGCCATACTGAGGAAAGTGTTATTTTCTCTTTATAAATAGTCCTGATGCCCCACCTCCTCAGTAATTTCCCTATCTTCTTCGACAGATTATATGATGGCAGCATAAGGATCCTGGTAGAGTGATATATCTTTTTATTTAGTCCCAAATATGTATTTCCTTCAATATACATGATAATATTATAAAATAGTTGTCAACCAACCCTTCTGGATAATTATTCTTAATTAGAATTCTCTTTAGTCTCATCAGCTTCTGGTCGCGATGTTTAACATCTGTCAGACGCAAGCTCCTTATTATAATAGACTTCCTATCTCCTACTTTAATCCTATAAGTGTGGCTGCGAAAGATATTTCGAAGGAAACCTGTATTTGTGTATTTAGCATAGATACTATTGCCTTGTTAGCATTTGACAAAACGAGCGCAAAAATTATTTAAAAAATAAGTAATAAAAAAATATATAAAATGATAATTTAAGTTTTAATAATTTCTAAGGATACATTTAAAGGCACAGATACTGCTTGAAGGGATGAGACAACTGAACGAATCTATGAAAGTGAGAAAGAAGTGTCATGACCAAACATTGCTCACTACCTTACGAGGTGTATTCCCACTATATTATTTAATGTGATAAGGTGAGTGGTAGTAAAATTTTCCCACATTGTTATGAGTAGACCTTACGTTTCCACTAAAGTTCACATATCCTTGCTTCCCAAAAGATATTCTTAGCCAAGTTGGAGTGGATTGCAGGTTCGATCTCGCTTAGATCTTATCAGCACCCTCAGCGTAACTCGAACCATGACAGTGCAGCATATAATCTTGACAAATTAGCCACAAAGTCACATTGCCACGAGTGTCCATGGGTCACAGGACAGAGGCGAATTCCATGAAAGGCCAATAATTTTTCCATATCATATTATATGGTGAGATTGAGGATGAAGCTAAGCTGTATTTATACTATATTAATCTAATACAAGACTTAAACTTCGTTGATAGGTAGGTTCTCGGGACTATCATATGCATGAGGTGTGTTATCTTATTTTGTTTAAGGTGAAAGGTGGACCTACTTTTGGACTGAAAAATCTACTTATCAACGAAAGATAGCTTATTGCTTATTTTGCTAGGGCATTACAAATACTCTTGAGCCATTCTGGCACCAGAGTAGGCGATTTAGTATCAGAAAATCTTAATTATTTTCTGGTTAATAAAACGTAAAGTTGTACTTATATGAACTAAGACATAATACATATAATAGAAACAGAGTTTTGATTCAACTTAAATTATCATAATACTTGCCGTCAACTGTTACGAATTTTTCTATACTTATTTGCCATCTTTAACTGTCATACAAATGCTGAATTGTCTAGAATCTTGACAGAGTTTTTACTACCATGCATCTCACTTGTGTTTCTTTTAAAGGTTGGACTGCAATTTATATCTCTTTCGAATCCTCGGTAAGCTTACAATCTATGTTATTCAAGCTCAGTGAAAGTATTGTATGTATACTAAGATGATATTATGTGTTTATTTTTTGTATGTAAGTAGAGTTTCGAGACTAACAATAAATCAGTAATATGAGATGCATTCATCCTATTTCCTTTAGGATGATGAAGGACTGGTAATAGAATTTTTCCACAATGATATGAGTAGAGCTGACGTTTCCATTGAATTTCACATAAACTTGCTTTCTCAAAAGTTGTTCTCAACCAGAGTGGACTACACTTTCAACCTCGAATTTGTCTCAGATATTATGTGCTGCCTGTTTTACAGTACTAAGCAGACCAAACCAAAATAAATAAGCTTTTATCCACCATTGATCTTAAACTTGTATTAATTAAAAGGATTCCTAGTTTCTTGATCTTAATTTAGGTAGTCATCCCAGCTTCAATCATTTTTCGTAAGGTGCATTATTCCCGCACGTAAAAAGTACAATTGTATTTATATATGGTTAAATTTTGATATCGTAACATATTCGTGCTCTCAGGAGGACTTCGAAGAACCTGCTCTTTCCTTCGTTCTAATCCATGACTTCTCTAAGCATTCTATTGGGTAAGGTTTCAGACATTTCGTTGCCTCGTCACTTCACAGATCCAGTTTTAAAACCTGGTTAAAACTCTTCTTGAAGTTCTTTTAATGGAATATTTAAGTGATTTGTTGGTAGGGGTATAATTTGACGAACGAGTTTTGGAAAGTAAGGACAGACAATTTCTTTGGACAGCAAAGAAGGATACAAATATATGGCTTATTGTTTGGCTTTCTATCCCTTAGAATGCATTGCGAAAAATCATCAATCCTCTTCTTTCATGCTAATTTATATGAAAACTATCCATATTGGCGTAAGATAAAATAAAAGATTTATTTACATTAAGAAACAATTCACTTTAGTGAATTGATATCAATGCGCCAAATAGTAAGTTATGCCCTAAGTTCACTTCGGACAAGATATCAATCACTGCTCATACACAGATGTTTATTTTGATGACAATTTATTGATTGGTTATACAGGAATGAGTTGATCTGATAAATAATATATCTATTAAGAAAAATAATAGGTAGGTAAATTAAAGAAGATATGATCCAGAAGAGTCGTATCTACTTAGATGAGAAATTAGTATCTTGACGCCTCTATTTGATTCCGTACATATTACATAGTATCACTTCCTATCCAATTCTAATGTGATTTTTCAAAAATATATGATTAATTCTCTGCTGAAATAAGAAAATCTATTTCCGAAACCACTTGAAGCTTTTCTCAGTTTCTAGCTTATCATAGATGTGGCCACAATTATAATTGATTGAATAATCTTTTGCATGTTACAAAAGTTTGTCGAATTTCCTACTCCAGAAATGGGCTCAACATTTTTAAGCAAATGATTAATCTGATAGCATTTTCGCCGTTAGCATGAAACGAAGAGGACGCTTAGAATTCATAGAGAATAGATCGCCAAGATTCTGAATTTGATCTCGAACCTATTTAGCGAGCTAATCTGGATTAATTGGAGAAGCTGGGTTAGTCAATATAAGCGCATTCCCTCTATGCCCACAGTATATAAGTAAATTAAAGGGATAACTGTATTTTCTTAATATTTTAAAATTCGAGGTTAGTAAGTAATACCACGCTCTCTAGCAACTAAATGATTAGATATGCAGCTACTATTTACACAAAAACAATGGGTCAGTAAAAGCAAGGTCGAACCAACACTAGAAAGATAAAGAAGATGGCGGCAAAACAAAGGGCCACATCATCTTGGTCTTCATATCTACGATTTAAGTTTCAGAGTTCGGCTTAATTTTGCCATTAGCTCTCACCAAATCTTACATCCAAAATGCATTTAATTATCAAGTTTCAAATTGACCAAAACTGGGCCTTATCTTCATCCTTTACGACAACGGCTTCGTTTTTCCCAATATTGAATTATATTAAACTCTTACTAAATATTGAATATGGATTTAAAGCCTTAAGCTCCAATTTTAGTATAATATTCAGCTTATTTTCATGAGGGTTACTAAAAACTGGTTACTTTAATGTTTTTTAAGGGGTAAAGCAATTTTCTATTGGATTGCAATAAATGTATATTCCAAGATTAAGTGATTCGTTTTAAAGCAAGAATATTGCATCACATACTTCTCCAATGGCAAGGAAAGAATCTATCATCTCCCTATAATAGATATATTACGCTTGCCAATTATGTGCACAAATGGGCTCTATTCTCTACGTTCCTGCTCTCTAAAATGGTTTAAACAAATTGTTTGATAGGACACAAATGAAGATGTAAAATAGAATACTACCGATGTATGCCGTAGTTCCTAAGCTAGAATCTATGAAAATTACACGCCTTTATCAGGCACGGATGTCCCAACATAATAAAATATTCTTGTTCTACTTAACCATTCGAAAAAAATAACTGCTGCTAGTACCATGCAAGTTAATTAATATATTTATAGCATGTAAGGTAATTAGCGAATTTATCATTATTAGTTGTGATATGAAACTGATTTCCAATAACATGCCTGGGTCCTACTTTAGCTAAAACTTATACTACAAATTTACATTTACATAGACCTTCTCATGCCTCATATACGATTAAAGGTTTTCTGACCGGCAGGAGTGCGATAAAACGTAATATGGCTAAATATAGGGCATTATTTGTTTGAGCAAAGATCAATATCATTATACTTAAAGGTATGCCCTAGCTCTCCGTGGCCATAATGTATGCCTTGGAATATATGTCGTTAAGTATCCAATTGACTTTTTAAAGATATTTCCAAAAAATCTAGATATATGATTACCTAGCCTGTTCTTTAGGAAAATTCAGGTATCAAGTTCTGTTGAGTTAGGCTCCTGTTCTGCCAACCAAGAAAAGCTGCAAAAACGATTTAAAAGAAAATTTCGATGTGCGACTTAACTAATGTGTCTGGTAAATTAACTATTAAGTGGACAAATTTATTATAGACACTATAATTTGCGATCTGACTGAAAAATCTGCAGTAAACACATGGACTCTATTGTAGAATAGTGTGTTATATTTTTTATGGCAAAGTAATAAATTGATATAAGGTATGCTTCTTGATTATATTAAAGGACTAAAAACAATACTTTTATATTCAGACAATAAGCGGCTTAGCCTGTTAATCTTCATTACGCTGATTGCGCTCACGGTACTATAGATTATATAATATTTATTTATCGATGCATAAATTCGGATGAACATATGAATAAGTGATTGTGGCGTCAAAGATGTCCTACTTCTTTAGAAATTATCTTAAGCTCAATCAATTAGTATAATTGTTTACAACGCCTAGAACAGCAAATGTAGGTATTAAACTGAATAGTTATC